ACTTTTTTTTTTTACTGGTGCGTGTGGGATACTTTGAAAATCTTGGAAATAAGGTGCTGGGTGCAACCGGTGACTGTTTTTTCTAGGGCTGTGTGTGCAAGCGCCATCCAGGCCACTCAGCCTGGCCACACTTAAACGATACTGAACTGCAACAAATAGAGAGGACAGAAATGTTACCAGTGAGGGTTGTTAACCATTGGAACAACTTGCCTAGGGAGTGGCGGATTTTTCCATCCCTCTTTAAATCAAGCCGGGATAGCTTTCTAAAAGAGTTGCCATAGTTTAAACAGAAGATGTGGGCTTGATGCAGCAATTACTGGGTGAGGGTCTTTGTCTTGCGTTATGCAGGAGGTCAGACTAGATGGTCATAACGGCCCCACCAGGCCTTGAAATCCATGAATCTATAAACATACTAAATGCAGAATGCTTGGTTCTCTCCCTCGCTGTATCCTATATGTGGTTGTGTTTGGCCCTTTTCCACCCGCCTCACGCACATCACTGCACCAACTGTAACAGGCATGTGATTCTCTTTTGCAGGCGTTTACCCTGTATGCATCTATTTCACCAAGTGTGCGTGGATCAGTGGCTAGCAACCAGCAAGAAGTGCCCGATCTGCAGAGTGGACATTGAAACACAACTTGGCTCTGACAGCTGAAAGAACCAATGCGGTGCACCATTTTCCTTACCAGGTCATATGGCCATAAGCCCTTGCAGCAAAATTTTGCCTTCTGAGCCATTTGATTTAGAGGAAAAGTCTGCAAGCACATTAGCGAAAAGGAGGAATTGGTGGTACAATATCTAGTGGTAGGAGAGGATCCTAACAGCCATATTGGTCCAATGCATGGGAGCTGGTATTCCCAGAGCTAGAAGGCCCTGTGCTACAGAAGATTTAGTATCGATCATGAAGGAACTAGTGTGTGGTTAGTTTGGCCTGTCAATCCTGGATTTCACAAGGATTGTATATATACCTCTCGAATAAGTAGACACATGTTAGGGGGTCTTTAGCTATTTCTGTGGACAGCAACTGGAGCATGTTAGCTTAAGAAATGTTGTGTTTGGTGCCCTAGTCATCTTGTGGTGGACATGTCGCTGTTAACCTAATTTGCACCAAATATTTTTTTCATAGATTCCTTATTTTGGTGCCTGACTGAAATGTGGCAGAGGTGAAAGAGAAAAAAAAAAGTTAAATCTTCCCACCTTTAGGAAAAAAAAAGAGAGGTGAAATAGCAAATTCCTGTTTACAGTTAGAAGGATCGTGCTCTTTGCCTCGTCCGCGTTTATTTCTTTGATTATGTTTACAGTGTGTTGCTCATTTAGAGAAGCCTAAAAAAAAATAATCGGAATGAAATGAACAAAATGATAGGGAGAAGTTTTGTTCTTGCTTATCTGCTGGTGCTGGACACTTTATATTGGGCAGGATCCTGCAACTGGTTCTGCTTCTTTTGCTTCCATAGCTTAACGATGTACTTTGGGGCGCAGCATCCAAGGAGGGCCCCTCGGTGTTTTATTATTGTAATTTTTCCTACCACCGTCTCATCTTCCAGTGCAATTGCAGTGGCTCCTGCAATCTGTATGGCCCGTTGATGTCAATGGGAGCCGCAGGTGGTTCCACATTTCTCCAGACCAGGCCCAGAATTCCCCAGCGGAAGTTGTATCAGATGCTAACCTGACACCACACCTGTGGTGAAAGAGCCATTGTCTGCTTGCTGGAGAAAGAGAACCTATTAAGCTGGTCGTAGTCGTTAGATCCTGCAAGAGTTTTTTGGAGGACTAATTGGCCCGGAAATATGCTTGCAATGTGATGAGAAATGCATTCTTCCGTCTCTCAAAAACAAAAGCACAAACCATCTTTTCTGCTAAAGCAGGTATCCAGAAGGGGGAAAATTGAACACAACTAACATGTCCTTCTTACAATTAAAATTCCTAATCTCATGGTCTTCTTTGGCTAGCAGACTAAGACATTTCAAGTGATCTAATTAAACGCTCCAGAGCTGTGCCGTCATCTAGCCTTCTTTTCCGGCTCCCGGAGGCAAAGGAGAAAAGGCATTGATTCAAGTTGCATCCTGCACTAAATTTCTTTCTGCTGCTCTTTCCTTTTGCGATTTACGTGAAATAGCAGCTTTTGTAGCTTAGAAAGTAAGAATAAGAGAGGAGATTACAGCTCAGGTGGAATTCTGCTGGTTTTTAAGAAATCCACTTTTTTCTTCATACCTTGCTGTGGAAAATCTCAGATAGTTGTTCTGATGACAAGATGCGGGGGAGAACAAGAGGACAGTTCAGTCATATTGTACATAAGAAATTGCTGACAACGTGAAAATTTCAGTACAGCATGGGAATTTAGATGTATGGGATAATTTACTACTTGGTCTGAATTTTAAACTACAGACGTGCATGTATGTACATGCACAAAAACACACCTATATAATACATATGAACTGCGTGAGCTCTGAAATGAAACGGACGCTAATTTGGAAGGCTCCGTTATAATTATGAGCAAAATAAAGATTAGAAGTAATCAATGAAGTGCCAAAAATAATGGAGCTTTCTGAGCCACATTCCCTGTGAAATAAATATTTCAGATTATTTGCCATGAGAGACATTGAATTAAGTGCATGTTGACGCTTTACTCAGTCTTCTTTATCTGACAGCTCTCGGGAGGATTGGAATCAACAGCCAAGATTCTCCAGGCTTTTAATACATTTTTCATGTACTAGGGGAGCAAAAAAGTGTCTAGAGGATTTTTAATCAGAAACATATATTTAAGATGCTTATATGGAGGATGATTTCTCGTTCCCATGAGTGCCTGTTTCGTAGGAGCTAAGTAATGTTTTGTAAGTGGAGATGAACATAAATTACCCTTGGAGAGATCATAGAATTCCTGCGAGCTGTAATTGGAAAATGCTGACCTCCCAGACGCCCATGATCTATTTTTTTCCAGTCTGGAGAATAAAGTTAACGATAGGGCCGGGACGAGCGACTGCATCAGCATTCACAAAGGAGATGCTCTCCAATTCACTGCAGTAATTTTGCCCAGGGTTACCCTCTCTTCAGCGGATTTGTCTTGCTAGACACAGGTAGTGGCGTGGGGAGGGGGGAAGATAATAACTTACAATGGCAGGTGAAGAAGATGCAATCTATAAATATTTATTTGGAACCACTGCTCTCTTCCTGTGTGTGCGGGTGATGAGAACAGTGTCGGGAGGGGGACGAGATAACCAGGGTAGGTAACCGCTCCTGCAAAACGCCGCTCTGAAAAATTCTAGCACTGTTTAATTTTGCCTCAAGATGACATGAGACACGTGTGGTCGTTTCTACTTTATCTTGTTGAACGTGAGGGTCTGCGCCCTTAGACTAGAAGGGCTGAGTGCCTTGGGCAATAAATAGCCTGGGCCTCACTCCAGCAGCAGCAGATTCATACATCATTAAAAAATAATATGACCGAGCAAAACAAGACGTTGCTCTTTAGATGCACTGTAATCCATCATGCGTTATAGTCTGGTCCTGCCAGTGCAGAGCTTGTCCAGGGAGGGGCTGAGGATCCTCTAATGAAGTGAATGGGAATTACAGCTACTCAGCACCTTGCAGGTGGGGCTCAGGACCTTTCAAGACCGGGGTCTTGCTTGGAATGAACTATTCAGTGGGGAGGAAGTGAGCTCTTCCGACCCCTGTGTTTTACGTCTATGCGAAAGTATTATTATTTGCCTAATGAACAAGCACAGTTTTTAAAACGGTGAAGAAAGCACCAAACTTCCATGGTCTGTGTGAGTGAGTGATACCGTGGCACGCGAGCGCTTGTAACGTCTGAAATTTGCATTTGGTGTGTCAGGTTCCCTTGTCTTTAAATAGCTTGTATGAGTAGAATGAGCTAATAGAGTGATTTTTTCAAAACAAAACAAAACAAATCTCTAGAAACAAAACATAGTTTACAGGGTTTTGTGCGTTTAAATGCCTTATATTTAACAATCATAATTTATGACTAACTTGTAGATATTGTGGGTTCTTATTTAATTATTTTTATAGTTGTTTTTGCATTTTTAATTATAATTTATTTATTTAGAAATTAATACTAATTTTTTTATTACTCCTATTACCTCATTTTTGCATTGTTTCTGGGAATGGAATGCTTTGCATGCATTGGTACTTAAAAAAAATTAAACATGGGGCGTGGGGGGGGGGAGCTTATCATGTCAAAAAAAATCAGGGTGTGTGATTACAAACTGTATTACTGTGGTGCTGTTACCTTGGATACATTCCATAAAAATGCAAACCTTTGATTCTGTATGCTGTGACATAGTGGAAAACTGCAATATAGTGACTGTGTTTAGCACATATATATATAAATATTATTTGCACTCATAATCAAACTATGGTGATCCTTTCACTCATGCCCGTATGCACTGAAGGAAAATAGCACTCCTCAGAGCCAAATAATCGGGGTGGCTCCCGCAAGCCCCATGGAGTGTCTTCAATGGGAGTTCCTTGCTCAGAGGGCTGGCAGCATCTGGACCATCATAACGTAGTATAGACCTAGGATTTGACAGCAGATCGAGTCAGTGCTGGTTATCCCCTTTAGAAAGAGAGTCTCTACAGGCCATATTCCTCCTCAGTATGCAGTGGTCACTATTAAAAAGCCAGTGATTGCCAATATCAACTACACAGTGGTGACTGAGATACCAGAGTTTCCTCCTGTACTTAGAAGAGGAAATCTGACCACAGGCCTAGCCTTTATTCCCATAAATTCCCTATTGAAGTCAATGAAACTTGCTTGCATGAGAGAGGCAGCAGGGCTAGCCGCAGCTGCCAAGTCTCGGTGCCGCGGTGCCGGGGCTGTTGGGGATATTATTTTATTATTTGTATTACAGTAGTTCCTGGATTCCCTCCCTCCCACCCCCCAAATTGGGGCTTCAGTGTGCTAGGCACTGCACACATACACAGTGAATGATACACCCTGCCCCAAATGTCTTACACGCTAAATAGACAAGACCAACAAATGGGTGAGCGGGGAAACAGGCACATGGCTCTATTTTTTTTTCTTGGCGACCACTGTCTCCGAGCTCAGGCTGGCCTTGCCTGGTTCCCTTTAAACTAAATTTTCGTGGGCTTTCGCCTTCCTGCTGTGTCTGTTGTCTGGTGGGCACATGTGTGTGTAAGGTGGTCATTTGTTCATCACGCTACATATCTGGCCAGATAAGCATTTCAAAGGGGATGAGGCAAACGTTAGGGGCAGCCCTCTGAGATGATCAAACTGTGTTTGTAAGTGTAGAGCCCAACCTTGTGGCTCATGCCATGTGTGGAAGTCCCTTGACGACAGGGAGTTCATCGTGGGAGTAGAGCACGCCTGGGCCCTAGAATTGCACAGCGGCAGAGGCTGACCTCTCAGTATTTCCATTATGGAGAGCTGAGTCCAAGTTTTAGGTGGAATTTGAGTGCTGATTAGCAAAGGGCACTTTTTGGAAAGATCACTCCATTGCTCTGCTGTGGCTGCCGGCCAATTCAGGGAAGTTGCTGTTACTTTGGAGCCCCCTAGAGGAAGGTGCAGGTGCAAACTGGATAGACTGGAGGCACCACCGAAAGTGGCCTGTGTGGCCCCTTCCCGTGTGTGTGGCAGGACCCCTGTGTAGAATGAACACCCATGAATCCAACAAAGAATTAGGTCTGGGAGTACTCCCCTCTCACTCCCCCCCGCCCCCCGCCACGTAATTTTATTGTCTGACATTTCCAAGCCTCAGCTGGTTCAGTGACAGCATCACCACTGGTTAGAAACAGTTATAAATTGCCTCTAGGCCTTGGTGTTGAAGACGCCTGGAAATTGTTTCTTTAATCATTTAAAAATAAATCAGTATTACGGTAAAAGCCCTATCCTCCATTTTTTACTCTCCCCATCAAAAAGTTGTAACTTAAAATGACATAGTAATTTCAGCTGGCATCTTCACAATGCTTTTTTTTCTCATTTACATTCACGAAGACCCTGAAATCGTGGTCCCATTGAAGTCAGTGAGTGTTTTGTCAGTGGTGTCAATAAAAGTAGGATTTGGAACAAATTGACCAGGTGTGTATCTGTACAGAAAAGAGGTTGATAGCAGATGGGATTCAGCATGGAAGACTGCAAATTCTGTGCACAGTTACCCATTCTGTGTGTCCAGCTGTATTGGGCTGCATCAATTAAATGCACATTTAAAAAAAAAAACTTTGTCCTAAAAAAAAATCCATCCTTAATTTCCCACATTATGCCTACGTGTTGCAGCTGATCAGGTTTCTATTAGAACCTCTACATTAGATAATGCTATAGTAGCATAAGTCCCTGCATCTCTAGACACTGGGGGTGTATTAAAACCAGTGTTTCAGATTTGTCTGTTTAGGCTAAACCCTAGCATATAACTTTTCAAAAGGTCACGGACACCTGCAAATTTTCCATCTTCCTTTGCACACACACTCAAGTAGCCAGGAGTGCTAGCGCTCGGCCTTGTACCCACAATTCAGTTGAAGGTGCAACCATGTGATTACAACTTTTTCAGGCATAGAAGGGAAATCCCTTTCTCTAGAAAATGTGACCCTAGATGTCTGATATAATTGGTGCACTCGGAGAATCATAGAATATCAGGGTTGGAAGGGACCTCAGGAGGTCAACTAGTTCAACCCCCTGCTCAAAGCAGGACCAATCCCCAACTAAATCATCCCAGCCAGGGCTTTGTCAAGCCTGATCTTAAAAACCTCTAAGGAAGGAGATTCCACCACCTCCCTAGGTAACCCATTCCAGTGCTTCAACACCCTCCAAGTGAAAAAGTTTTTCCTAATATCCAACCT